TTCCTTGCGGATTTCTCTTTTTTTGAGAAAAAGTTGATTTCGAAGAGAGATATCTCCCAGCTATGCAGCAAAAATGCGCTTTTTTCTCTAATAAAGAGAATTTAAGAACAAGTGCAAAGGGTTATTGCAACTTTCTACAAACAATAACTTAAGATGTGATGAGCCAAAGCAGGAAATAAGTTTGAAAGAGCGGGCATTCATGAAATGTAAAAAGTCTGTTTAGGAATGTGTAAGACATGGTTTTCAAGTGTTAATTTCCCTTTGTTGTGGTTAAGGATTAGGCCAATCTACTATAAGACCTTGGCTGACGTTTCAAACACGTTGCTCTTTCTGATCGCAGCTCTTTTCCATTGAAAACTTCTTGGTACTCCATTCTTGGTTTTTTAATCAATGATGACAATGTATTGCCTATCCGCACTCAAATGTTTCTTTTTCTCTCTCTGCCTTTGCATAGCTTACCCTTTTCAGTTCCCCAAGAGGGCGAACTGCTGATCACCACCGAGTTTGGACGAATTCTTGTTGGCATCCAGGAAATTGTTATAATTCCACAAGGTAGAGTGTCTTATTGCGTAACGATCGTGAATATCAGCTCCTTTTTTTTTAGGAATTCGCTTCTCAGTGCATCTCACTCGTCCATCGCGTGGTTATGTTCTTGAGGTTTACGGCACACACTTTCAATTGCCTGATCTCGGGCCGATAGGTTTGATTTGCGCTATTTTCTTCCCCTTCCTTATTCATATAAAATTCCACACTTATACCTCAAGCGATTGTGGACCAGTTGTCAGTTGTTTAACTGGATCCTGACTTTCTTTGGCACAAATCCAGTTCTATGCACCTTATTTGCTTATTTATTTGACTCTTTACACAGTACACTTGCAAGTATGTTGAAACCAACGTAAGAATTGATTAGACTACCACAATAGCATTAACCAACAGATTTGACACAAAATGCCAATTTTTGAAGTCTACAATCAGTAAATAAATACGTCTACATCAGTGAGATGACTGTTATCGCTGTCTTTTATGTCTCCTATGAAATGTAACATAGTCGGCTTTCACGTGCCGCTTGGCTTAAGACTTTGAATAATTAAGCTTTTTTGAAAAGCCCGAACTATGTTTTTCGAAAAGAAACCGTGCGTAAATTATGCATTAGCAATTGGGCTGTCCTGGAAGTTTCCTGACAAAAAAAAA